ATAAAAGACTAATATGCAAATCGACTGAACAGCAGAATGACTGGTCGCTATGACACTCACTGACCACCAGGGGGAAGGTGCTCAATGCAGGAGTTGTCCTATGGTGGTCAGTGTGCTCTCACAGGGGGAGCGCCGCTCAGCCAGAAGCCGGGCTCATGGCTGGCTAGCGCAGCAGCAGTGGTGGAAGCCTCTCCCACCTCCATGGCAGCGCTAAGAATGTCCGCCTGATGGCTTAGTCAGACATCCCCTGAGGGCTCCCAGACTGCGAGAGGGCTCAGTCTGGGCTGAGGGACCCTACCCTCTGAGTGCACAAATTTTGTGCACCGGGCCTCTAGTCTATATATAAAAGCCTAAGTGACTGAACAACTGGTTGACCAGTAGCTATGACACACACTGACCACCAGGAGGCAGATGCTCATTGCAGGAGCTGCCCCCTGGTGGTCAGTGTGCTCCCACAGTGGGATCGCCACTCAACCGACAGATCTGTCCTGGTGGCCCACCAGCCAGGCGGCAGTCACTCAATCCCTCAGTAGTCCTGCAGGTCCAATCTCTGGAGAACGGGCCAGGCACCGACGGACTGGCGCTGCCGTCATGATCCTAACAGCGCTTCCAGTTTCCTGGAAGTTGGCCTCAGGCACCGCGGTCGCTTTCCCTCCCTAGATGCTCCACAAGGAAGAAATGATATAAAAGCAGCCACCAGGTGACTCCTGACAACCTGTGCGAATGTCAGCGGGACGGATCCGGATCCCAGGCAGGTTAAGGTGTCCCACTGCCCGCTTGGAGGGCCGATCGTGTCCTGTCTCCTCCCTACCCCCTTAGGACGGGTGCCAGATGCAGGGCTCATGGCTGGTGAGCCCTGATGTGGCGGTGTGAGCCTCTCCCCATCAGGACTGACTGGCCCCTTCAGAACTGACTGGGTGTGAGCCCACGGCAGGTGCAGTGGGGCCAGGTGAGCGGGAGTGGCAGGCAGGAGCAGCGGCATTGGCCTGCCAGTTTCAGCCTAGGCCCTGCAGGCCTCCCGGAGGGACCCCAGCCGTGCACGAATTTGTGCACTGAGCCTCTAGTTATATTGATATTGTTCTGTATATATAAGCTAATTAGGTGGGAGAAAGAAGTAGAAGGTATGCAAATCAATGGAAAACTAAGAAAAAAATTTAGAAAGGTAGCTAGTTATATGATTAGTATATGGAAATCAATGTTTCTACTATATCTAAGCCATGCTCAACTAGAAAAGAAAAACTAGAAACAAGTCCATCCTATCTAATAAAAGAGAAACACGGTAATTAGCGTACGACTGCTACCCTTCCCATTGGCTAATCAGGGAGATATGCAAATTAACTGCCAGCCAAGATGGCGGCCGGCAGCCAGGCAGCTTGAAACTAACATGAGGCCTCTTTGCTTCAGTGACAGAGGAAACCAACGTTCCCCGCCTGCCTTGCTGGCCTCTGAGCCTACAGTTTGAAACATTGTAACAAATATAGAAGCTAAACAAAACCCCAGAAATCTGCTTTCAGCGAGCCAGGATCTCAGAGCTGGAGTTATACATTGTTTCGATTATAGAACTGAAACAAACCAGATACCTGCTTTCAGCAGCGGAGGCCTAAGAGCTGGAGCCTCAGAGCTAAAGCTGGCACAGAATAAAAATAAAAAAAGAAAAAAAGGAGCGGTTGAGAGCTTCTGTCACCCGCCAGCCTGAAAACAGCCCTCATCCCCTCACCCAGACTGGCCAGGCACCCCAGTGGGGACCCCTACCCTGAAGGGTGTGTGACCAGCTGCAAACAGCCATCATCCCCTCACCCAGGCTGGCAGGGCACCCCACTGGGGACCCCCACCCTGATCCAGGACACCCTTCCGGGCAAACCAGCCAGCCCCACCCATGCACCAGACCCCTATCCTATATAGTAAAAGGGTAATATGCCTCCCAGCACCGGGATCAGCGGAGCCGCGAGGCCTCCCAGTACCGCGATCAACGGTGCCGAGAGGCCTCCCGGCACAAGGATCAGCGTGACAGGGGGCAGCACCCAAACCCCCTGATCGCCTTGCAGCTCTGTGTGTGACAAGGGGCGGGACCACAACCCCCCCCCCCCCACGGTCCCTGCTCTGTGTGTGATGGGATAGAGCCTTAACCTCCCCATCGGCCCTGCCCTGAGTGTGACAGTGGCGGTGCCCAAACCCCATGATCGGCCCTGCTCTGTGGGTGGTAGAGGGCAACGCGCCAACTGCCCCCCATGGGCCCAGCTCTGTGTGTGACAGGGTAGGGCCATAACCTCCCCATCGGCCCTGCCCTGAGTGTGACAGGGTGCGGCACCCCAACCCCCTGAACACCCTGCTCTGTGTGTGACGGGGCGGTGCCCCAACTCCCCTATCGGCCCTACTCTGTGAGTGACAGGGGGGAGCTCCCCAACCCCCTGATTGACCCTGCTCTGTGTGTGACAGGGGGGAGCTCCCCAACCCCCTGATCGACCCTGCTCTGTGCGTGACAGGGTACGGAGCCCCAACCCCCCTGATGGGCCCTGCTCTGTGAGTGACAGGGGGCAGCGCCCCAACCCCCTGATTGGCCCTGCTCTGTGTGTGACAGGGGGTGGTGCCGCAACCTCCCCATCAACCCTGCCGTGAGTGTGACAGGGGGCGGTGCCCCAACCCCCCTATCAGCCCTACCCTGAGCGTGACTGAGGGTGGCATCGCAACCTCCCAATCCGCCCTGCTCTGTGCATGTCAGGGGCGGCGCCCCAACTCCCTAATCGGCCCTGCTCTGAGCCCGACCAGGGGCTGCACCTAGGGATTGGGCCTGCCCCCTGCCACGCGGGAGCAGGCCTAAGCCAGCAGGTCGTTATCTCTCGAGGGGTCCCAGACTGCGAGAGGGCACAGGCCGGGCTGAGGGACCCCTCCTTCCCCCCGAGTGCACAAATTTTTGTGCACCGGGCCTCTAATTTAATATAAACACACATACACACACACACACACACACACACACACACACACACACAAATAAATAACTCAGAATAAATAAATCTAGATATCTGCAAGACATGTAATTTGCTTTCAGGACAGATATAATCAATATTCTAAGACTTCTTATTCTGCTTAGATTAACCTATCATTCTAATAAGATTTCAATTATAATACCAATAGGATTTTTTATTTTGAGAACTTAAAAAGATAACAAAGTTGATCTGATAAAAAGCATGTAATTATCTAGGAATACTAAAAAAAAAAAAAAAAAAAAAAAAAAAAAAGAGGAGCAAGAGGGAACCAGTCCTTGCAAATATTAAAAACATTATAAAGATATAGTAAATAAAGAGTTTAGTCTACAAAAGGAATAGACAAAAGTTTGTATAATGGAGACTCCTGAGATACACTCGCATGCATATACATAATATAGAATAAAGGTGACATTTTAAGAAAAGATGATTCAATAAAAGTTGTTAGGACACTAACAAGATTCCAGTTATTTAAAGATTTAAACATCAGAACTTTATTTAAAAACAGGGGATTAATAGGCATAGAGGATTTTTAAGGGAGTGAAACTACTGTGTCTAATACTGTTATAGCGGATACACGTCATTTGACATTTGTCCAAACCCACACCGATAGTGAACCCTAATGTAAACTGTAGACTGTAGATGATGATGTGTCAATGTAAGTTCATCAGATGTAACACATTCACCACTGCGGTGGGAATATTGATAATGGGGAAGGCTATACATGTTTGGGGCCAGAGGGTCTATAGGAAATCTCTGTACCTTCCTTTTAATTTAGCTGTGAACCTAAAACTTCTGGAATAAAATAAAGTCCCTTAACAAAAATTCAGCCATAATGGTGGGAAAGATAAAATGATGTTATAGATTTTATCATCTTGGACATAAACTCCAGAAGCCATAACAGAAACAAGTAATAATTTGACTAACCCAAAATTTAAAATTTCAGTATGAGAAAGAGAAACTACCATAAATCAACCTAAAGGGCAAATTAAACTACAGAAAAACGTTTGAAACACATTAAAAAAGGCACATTTTATTAGTATACAAAGAGCTCTTACAAATCAATATTAAAGAGACAAACAGCGTAAAGGCTACTAGCAAAAACAATGGATCTGTTGCATTTGTGTAATGAAAAGCATATAACAGTATATGCGTATGTGTAGGTACGTATGTACATGTGTGTGTCACTTGTATTTGGATAGACCTCTGAAATGATACATTAAAAGGTAATTGAAGTTACTTGTGGGAAGTAGAAACAGAATGGCTACAAATTTTACTTTTATACTTTTCCATATTATGTTTCTTATTTTAAAAACCATGAGTATGTATTGCTTTTATAACCCAAAAGCAAAACCTAACAAAAACACTTTACTTCTGAGGAACTCAACCAGTAATATGCTGATGGTTTGACCCAATATATATTCATTTCTCTGGTGCCTCTTTATTCATAGACAGTAATATATATTGAATTCTATTATGGAGTTAAAACATTTCAAAATAGGGAATGACTTGCTAAAATCCAGTAAAACTAAAAGTAGTAAAACTCTAGAGTAGGGGAAGTGAGGTTAAAAAAAGGTAGCTTAGCCCTAACCAGTTTGGCTCAATGGATAGAGCGTCGGCCTGCGGACTCAAAGGTCCCAGGTTCGATTCCGGTCAAGGGCATGTACCTTGGTTGCGGGCACATACCCAGTAGGGAGTGTACAGGAGGCAGCTGATCGATGTTTCTCTCTCATCAATGTTTCTAACTCTCTATCTCTCTACCTTCTGCTCTGTAAAAAATCAATAAAATATATTTTAAAATATATTAAAAAAGGTAGCCCAATTTTACTTTTACACTTTTTATTATCTTTATATTGCTTTAGAAATATATAGCAGAAAAAAGAAAATAACTATTGATGTTTTCATTTTGCTTCTTTAAAGCCAGAACTAGATGGTCTTCTCTAGAAATTCCTTTCCCTTCATTCCCTCTGGGGCTCCGGAATCAATCAAGTCCTATACTCTAAGACCCATTATACTTACTTAGCCTTTCTCTTATGAGTACTGTTTCTCTATCCTCAGCAGTTTTTCTTCCAGGAAACTGGACTCTCTCTCTCCAAAATTCTGGCTATTAATAAGCAATAATAGCAGCATCAAAAGTAACTTCATCAGCTGCATGCTCAGTAAAGAACATGCAGGCAAGGAACAATGACAGAAATTAATTAATGTTAGCACCTGAGTCTTACCCAATAATAATTTCAAATACAATATAATGCATATTTATATTTGTTTTCAAGAAGCTTCTCTTCAAAAATCCTGGATCAAGATGACAGCTTTTCTAGTACAATTTCTTTCTGTACATTTAAGTATATTGAATTCCTATTTCATACATTTACGTTAGCTCCTAAATGGTAACAGAAATAGCCAACACATGTATATGTATAAATGAAATACAATTATGTTATTTAATTGCCCCCATGATACTATATAGTGTATTCTATTTTCCTTCATGTCCTAAATTTTATCTTCCAGTAAGTTTTCAAAATATATACATGAATAAATAAATGCTAACAAAAGACTGTCAATTATTCACAAACACAGCCTATTCGAGTTGGAAAAGAACCTTAGAGGTTTTCCAATTCATAAGCATTCCATAAGCTAATGTGTCCTGATCACCATCATATCTATCACTGTTATACTCTTAGAAAATGGTTATTCAACTTCACTGGGAATACTCGATTGGTGTTAAATTCCTCACCTAAGAAATCAGTCCACTCCAGTTTCAGACATAGTCTGGGACTTGGAATATAGACATTTGAGGCAAAGGTACAATTTCCTAATATTTTCCCTAAGTATTTTTACCAGTAACACAGGGTATTTACTTCATCATTATTGATGCTCTTAATAATAAAATCTTTATTGTTTAATTTGCATATTTATCTCCTCAAATCCCTGTTTTTCAGTTCAAAGTTTTCCTAATTAGATCAGCACATCTCTAAGTATATATTATATTTTATTTTCAATTTCTGTAAGACACAATCTTATCCAAAAGTCCACTACTACTGTATCATCACTTCTCGAGAATCTGATTCTGAGAACTACAAAATGCTCAAAGCCACACAGCTAGTAATTGGAACAAAAGAGAGTAACCAGTAGAGGCAGGGCCTAAATAACTATTTTTAAAAAACTTCTCTGATTATGCTAAAGCATAGTCAGGGTGGAGAAACACTCCTCTAGTAATTTGATCCATAGTCTACAAAACCAAACCCCAATCTCAAAATGCATAGTCAACTGTTCATTTAACCAGATACTTTGTTTTTTCCTCAAGGTTTCAACATTCACTTGGAAATGAGATAAAAATATAAACCTTAAATCCCTCAATTTACTGAAAAGTTCTGGGAAATAAAGATTATATTGCCACTTTCCCACATTGCAAACTTTCTAATTCCCATCTCTGATTACCTTTCATATAAAATTTTAGAAAAATATTTAACATGAAGGTGCATAACAGAGTTAGCTACAGAATTGCTTTACCTTCTAATAACACTCTTTTGGATGCTATCTACAAGCAGAAGGACTAATTACAATTTCCTTCATTCACTTCATAAACATTTATTGAGTGACTATTATATGTAAAGAATAATTTGAAGCAAGTTTTACCTGCAAGAAAAGTACTTCTGGATATTTCATGTGTTTCATGCAAGAATGGCAAAACACGAGGACCCACAATAGGATTTTATAATGCTTTACTTCCTTTTCAGAAGCTCAAAGAGAAGAAAATACATAAAAAATCTTTTTATTGAAACTTACACAGTGTAAGTTTTATTACATGGAAAATCTGTGACAGTTGTCTAAATATGTGGGAGATGACAATAAAAAAGATGTGATAAAAATTTACTGATGATCTATATACCACATACGAAGTTATATATTAGAAAGAATTCACAAGAATGAGCTTTTCTATAATAAACAGTAGAATTAATGCTTATGTTCTTTTTGAAAGGTCAACAATTTTTTTCTTAATCTTAATTTAAAGTAAATATCTTACTCAGGAAAATAAAAAGTAGTCCTGTTTTGAATCAAGTACAACAAAGGAAAACTGGCTCAGTTAATTTACTTACAAAGAATAATTCTAAGTAAAATTATAAACACAAATGTCATACCATCTCTAATGTCTTTAGGGCATCACATTTGTTTATATATGTAATATGGACACATGCCTGTGACCATAAAACTGTAACCCTATTATTTGAACTCTGACATCAAGTAAACAAACAAGATAACTATTGTTCTCTAATTTTAAAAAATAGAGCTATTCAGTTAATGGGAAAAAGTTTTATCAAGAAACTATGTTCAAGAAATGGTACTGCCAAATCATTCTAAGCAAGCAGCAAAAACCTATTCATAGATCATGTCTTGTCACAAGTGAAACAACCATTGTTCTAGAAGAAGACAATTTTCTGTTTTTAAAATCAATGTTTCTTTCTTAACTTTATTCTCAGTTAAAATATATATATATATATCTAAACCTATCTATATAGATATAAAAAAGACAGTGTGTTAAATCAGTTGAATTATACCCCCGAACCCCAAAGATACATTTAAACCCTAACCCTTGGCACCTAAGAATGTGACCTTATTTGTAAAAAGCGTTTTTGCAGATGTAATCAAGTTAAAATGAGGTCATGCTGAATTAGGGTGGACCCTAATCCAATATGATCCTGTCCTTATAAGAAGAGAAGAGACATAGACACAGGAGAAAAACCATGTGATGAGCGAGGCAGAGATAGAAGGGACAAATCTATAAGCCAAGGAATACCAAGGATGGACGGCCACACCAGAAGCTAAGAGAAAGGCATGGAACAGGTTCCCCCCTAGAGTCTTTAAAAGAAGATGGTCCAGAGGACAACTTGATTTTGGACTTCTAGACTTAAGAACTGTGGGAGAATAAATTTTTTTAATTTAAGCCACCCAATTTGTAATAATTTATTACAGCAGACATAGGAAACTAATCCAGAGAACCAAATTGCCTATTTAATTTTATCTTTCTAGTGGAAAGATCAAATCAGTTTCTCATATTAAATACACATTTGATCAATGTATACATAAAAGGTATTTAATCCCAAGAAGAAAATTCTTCAACTCTCTTGCTTTGCATGTGGAATATTTCTCCAAACATATACTGGTTGATAAAAAGTTAAAATTTTAGAACAGAAAGTGAATCACTCAAGTAAAATTCCTTGCAAAATTTGTAATGTATAAAGTTTTCATGAAGCTCAAAAGTTAACAACCACTTTTTAAAAAACTATGTTTTTTAACCATGATTTCAGCATAGATTGCATTTTCACATGTTTCATATAAAATTTAAACTGCTTTTTGGGAAATTTCAATAAGAACAAAATTTAGTAGCAGTACAACAAACACAATAATGCAAAAAAAAAAATTGACATGAGTATAATGGACAAATCCATTACTTATTTTCTAAGAGTTGAGCTTACTATGAGGAAACCTTCTTCAATCATTTGCAAAAAGTAGGATAACTACATCACCTATTTATTAAATTACGTGCTAGGTGAGTGCTAAATATCTAAGCTTTTTACTAATATTATCATCTATCCCATTTAATCCTTACAATTATATTATTAGTATCTAAATAAAAAAATATAAAAATATACATTGATCAAAGAGAATCAATGATTTGCCCAAGATCACACAACTGGTAGGTCTGGCACAGGATTAATCAGTTAGTCTTCACTGTTCTTTGAATTTGTCATACCTATAAATCATATGTGCTGTGTTACAACTGCCTTTCGAATTACTAAAAATTTCTACAATGATAATTTACAAATAAACCTTACAATATGGGAAATAAATGAAATAGCGCTTGTGATTAGAACTATAAATATCTATCACATATTAATGATATGAGCAAAAATAGAATGCAATTCATAGAGAACAAAGGGCTAGTTCTTAATGTGGAAGAAATATAAATTAGAGCTATTTGACACAGATATGCTGCTGTGATTAAAGAATAACGTAAGATCAAAATAAGGTCTGACATATGAATGAGTTTAAAAAGGAAACATTAGAGAAAGAAATTTGACAATAGGCTGCTTATGGAGTAGCACTGTTTATGGGAACTATTTCCACTAATTTAGCAATGGTCAATTTAACGTATCTTTTTAAAGTAGTTACGTGAATTGTAGTAGACTTAGAAAATATTTAAACCATGATTAAAGTATAATTCTGAGAGAAGTTTTAGAAACAGTTACTTGTGTGCAAGGGTTATAAGAACTTCCTGCTTCTTATAGGTTAAACAACTCAACTCAACTAAGAAAGCAGTAGAATCTATTTTTTCTTTTTAAAATCTATCCTTACAAACAGAAGGCAGACATTATCAGCAGTTCAGAAAGGTTAGGTGTGTTTTTGCCAGAAGGCAGCCAGTGGATAATCACTTACGGTTCTATAAAGCCCAGTGACTACATAATACTGCTATTCTTATAACTATGAGGCAAGGGCAACACAGCTGGTCTTTCTTTTCTTTGGTGATCAGGATTTGCTGTCCAAAAAGTTGCAGAATAATTTGAATGTAATTAGATGAAATTTTCCCCAACAGAAAAGCACGAATTAATTTTGACTCTAGTTCCTCAGAAGCTCTACAGTGGGCTTTTTAAACATTAATGGTCTCCTTTACTTAGAAAGTGTTTCTCTAAGTTGAACTTAAAAAGCAGACTCTTTTGCTGAATGACCTTAGGCCTCTGAGTTGAAGGAACATTAAATTAGAAATTCTGAGCAAATCTTTAGTTTCTCTGTTTGTATAAAAAGCTTTGTAAAATTAAGTTTTAGTACATTGGACTCAAATTTTTATGAGTTATTTTATTTCATTTTATATTCATCTATTTAAGCCTTTTTTTTTTTTTTATGAAGTTGAAGAAGGGAGATTCCTTACATTTATAATTTTTTTTTCTAAAACAGTCAATTTATTTCCAGGCAAACTTTCCATTTAAAGGGTAAGGTAATTAGTTTCAGTTTTGAAGATGACACTGTGGTTCCACAATCCTTGATTGACTGTTTTTCCAGGAAAAGCAAGAGCAGCTGTGAAAGTAACTAAAAACTTAATGGGATCTTTTGATGTAGACATCGCACAAAATATAAAGCTGTGAGGACTATAAAGGGATGACTTACCGCAATTTGGAATACTTCAGAATATTTAAAAATAACTGAGAAAAATGCAGGGATCAAAACAAAAAATTTATAAATGGTATGAATAATAAAAATACCCAAACTATTCCAACACCCAAACTATTTAGTATTTGTAGTTATATGTGTGTCCAAGATAGATAGAAAGAGCCCTGTTGTCAAACATGGGTACTTAATTTCTGTTATTTAAATTTTTACTTTGTATTTAGGAATGTAATATAACCCTATACCATGGAAGGGCAAAAGCAGCTTAGCTCAATGTAATTTTTGACATGCGATAATGCTCAGGGGGAAAAAAGGAGGGGAGAAATAGCTTATCTATACTTATGTAAATTACAGTATTAAAGAACACTTTTAATATTTTCATTAAAACAAAATTCTACTTGTTTCTACATACTTAATAATAGAAAACTCAAAGCATCAATATTTCATTGCTTGCCTCCAAAAAACTGTTGACATCCTCTGTGGCCATCTGCCAAGGTGGTCATTCCTTTGTATTTGATGGAATTAGAGAAGTATCACGATTCTGTGAATTGGTGAAGGAAAATATTCTGTGCTCTGGGCTTCTGGTATTTTATTTCCTTGGTCCTGTTAAAAAGGGAATAAGGATGAATTTTCCAATTTTGAACAGAGAGCCAGTTATTTTATATTTCCTAGTTTCATATTTAAGGACATTTTGAGATTTTATGAGGTCTCATTAAGAATCACAGAATTTTAGTCTTACACACAGGACTTGCTAAATTTATGATTGTAGGCACAAAAGAGCTATATCAATTAGATGATTCAATCCCCATATTTTACACTATAGGAAACTGAAATCCAGAGAGGTTAAACAACCCAACTAATGGTACAACCGATCGGTGGCAGAGCCAGCATGAGAAACCAGTTCTTACTACTCTTAGTTCAAGGTTCTTTCCTCCAGTTGTTTACCTGGGAGGGAAATTGGGAAAAGCATCATCATTTCTAAGTTAATTTCTCAGACCTAAAGCTTAGAGGAAAATCTAGAACAAGAAACAACAAACATGATAGTTTATTATTTAATTACTAATTCAATGCATGGAACTTATTCAATGGGTATCTAAGAGAGACTATTTTATTACAGTATGATCATCATTTTATCAAAAATGATCATTTACCATTAAATTTCTGAATTTCAGCCAGTCATAATTATTTATTTTTCCTAATCCTTCCTACTGCAACATAAGAAAAAAGTGATATTTTTATTATCTGCAGAGCAACAGACTGAAATTTTTTTTTTAAAAAAATGGATTTTAGACACAACCTTATATCCCATAACATTTAAGATAAAATCCAAATCTAGAGGAGGACCAAGATGGTAGGGTAAGTAAACACATATACTCACCACCTCCCACAACCACATCAAAATTACAACTAAAAAAATACAAACCACCATCATTCAGAACCTCCTGAAACTGACTTTGGCTGACCAATTCAGGCATGTGTGATCCAAACTTGATCAACCAAGTGTCCATTTAATACCCTGAAATTTAGACATGTGACTGGGAACCCCATTAATGGCTCTACTCTGGAGAAAGCTGAAATCCCCAGAGCTACCCTTGTTTCTTTCCTTCCCACCTGTCAATTCCATGAGATATTCAAGTCACTTTCCAGATGAACGCCACATATGAATAAGTTTACAAAAATCTTGTTGCAAACAAAGGAAATTTAACCAAAATAGGCTTAAAAAAACACACACACCTAGTGTTCTTTTTGTTATAATTTCAAAGTACAGAGAAGGATATTTAAAGAGACTAAATAAAGCTTGCCTTTGTTTTTTATTCTCTCAAAGTAATTTCATAAATTGTAGTTAGGGATTGTGTGTCCTCTGGTACTACTTAAAAATTCTTCCAAATTTTAAAAATCAGGGTCGATGGATCCTAGATTGTGTGGATAGAACTATATTTTAGTAGAGGTGAAAAGATTTGCTTTGTAATTTTACTTATTTTATGTATTTAAAAACATTTTATGTAGAATGAGCTTTCTATATTCCTTTTGCTAATGCAAGACAAGGGAACATATGAAATTATTTGTGTCACTGATTTACTCAGATCCACTTATGAGACCCAAACATATTCCCATACATTGTTTTGGGGTACTGAGGAGAGAGCAGGGACAAAACAGATAAAGTCTCTGCCCTCACAGAGTAGCAATAAGAGAATTCATAGAATATAATTTGAAAATTTTATAGTACTTTAGTAATGAACTTGGTACATGTATATACAATGAGGAGATAAAACTAGCTTAAAAGTGTGAGCATATGGAGATAAAAATCCTAGAAAAAATTTATGTGCAAATCCTTAAGCATTATCTAATCTTTAAGAGGGATATATCAGAATACATAGGAAGCCCTGCCAGAAGTCAAATTATTATAAGAGTAATAATAAAGTGCAACCATCACCACAAAGGCAATACTTATGTTACACTCTTTACCACTAATTTCATATCTATTATTACAATAGAGCCTCTTAATACTTCTTCCAGATAAGCAGCATAGACAATGGAGCCTTAGAGGTTTGACAAACTTGACCACTTTGGGTAGGGGCAGAAGCAGCTACAGCCTGGTTTCCAAGTTTTCCAGTTTTACTTCCATCATACCACACGGCATCATCTAACAAAAGACAGTTGCTTAATAGGCAGAGTAAAAATTCCTTTTAATTTACTTCTGTGAACTACAAATAAAGTGAGAAAAAGAAGCAATACTATTGGTGTTATGAAGAAGTGGCTGGTAACAAAGTGAACATCTTTTGTCACTTTGAAAGACATAAGCTCAAATCAGTAAGAATTCTGGGATAGTTTGATAGATTTGGCTGTGGAGGAGTTTAAGAATGTGTTATTAAGGCATATTTTCCCAACCAATGGGGTTGGCAAACTTTAGCCAGCAGAACCAACCCAATCTGCCATCTGTTTTGTGTGGCCCTCCAGACAAGAATGGTATTTACATTTCTAAATGCTTTAAAGAGCATAAAAATTTTGACACCTGGAAGTTATATAAAATTAAGTTTCGGTGTCCATAAATAAAGCTGAACCACAGCCACGCGCATTTGTTCATGTATTGCCTCTGATTATTTTCACACCTCAACAGCAGAGTTGAATAGCTCCACAGAGACCTACCAGCCAGAGGAGCCTAAAGTACTTACAATTTGAGCTTTTCAGGAAAAAGTTTGTTGATCCTTGATCTAGAACAGCAATTTCCAACTGGTGCGCCACAAGATTTTTTAAAACATGCAATACCTGACTATTTAGTCAGGGTCACTCACCTCTTTTCTTTCAGATTGTCAAATAAAAAAAATGACAACAGCTACACAATAGCCATCTGGTGTGAATGAATAAAAATTACACTTTTTTTTTTGTCAGATTGGCAACAAATAGAATGTATTTGTTGTTGTGCTACAGAATTCTAGTAATTACTGTATGTGTGCCATGAGTTAAAAAGATTGAAAATCACTGCTCTAGAAGGTCACAATTTTCCAAAGAGTTCATAATGTTAAAGGCAATAACGACATCTGCTTAAACTAATAATTAAATAAATTTAATAACTGGGAAGTTAAATAAATATTTCTTCCCCTTAAAATGGAATGATTTGCAAGCACCTGAGGTCTAAGTGACTACCTTAGGTGCCTGAGAAGCATGCTTACATATCTCAGCACTCAGTCAGCTTATCACTTAAACTAGAGGCCCGGGGCACGAAATTCATGCACGGGTGTCCCTCAGCCTGGCCTGCACCCTCTGTAATACAGGACACCTTGGGAGATGTCTGACTGCCGGTTTAGGCCCTATCCCTAGTCGGATATCCTGCTCGCAATCCAAGGCTGCTGGTTTCTAACGGCTCGCCTGCCTACTGGCCTGATCCCCCTAACTGCCCTCCCCTGTCGACCTGATCCCCCTAACTGCTCTTCCCTGCTGGCTTGATCCCCCTAACTGCTCTCCCCTGCTGGCCTGATCACCCCTAACTGCCTCTGCTTTGGCCCCACCACCATGGCTTTGTCCAGAAGGACATTCAGTCTAATTAGCATATGATCCTTTTATTAGTATAGATTATCTCTTTGTGTTTAAATTACCTCATGATATTTGTGATTATTGCAGAGGTTCTAAATTTCTGAAGTATCAGTCCAACAATTTGAAATTTACTGTTACATAGATTTCTAGTTAATGACAGCAAGCACAAAAGCAACTTTTGGTGACATATAATTGAGTAGCATAAAAATCCTATGAAGCCTATAAATTTGCCTTAAGATAACCATCATCAAGTCTATAGGTTGCATTTACTTAATCAAAAGGAACCCCCAGAAGTCTCAAATACTTTAAAACTCAGGTTTAAAAAAACATGATTATCATATCCACAATTTTCTTGAACAAAATTACCTCTTATTTAGAAATTAAATGTAGGTACGTTCAAAAGCATCTACAGTAATAAAAGACAAACATGCAAATTGACCGCACCTTCGCTATGTCTTAAGCCACGCCCACCTGCCAATCAGAGCGACTATATGCAAATTAACCCAACCAAGATGGCGGCCGGCAGCCATGGAGCTGGAGCAAGCAGGAGGCTTGGTTGCCCCAATGATGGAGGAAGCCAAGCTTCCCGCTTGCCGCGGTGGGCTCTGAGCTCCACTCAAAGCAACAAAGTTTCAATTATAGAAGGTAAATAAACCCCAGATACCTGCTTTCGGCCGGCTGTGGCCACGGAGCTGGAGTGAGCAGGAGGCTTCCCTCCTGCCTGCCCTGGGTGGCTCTGAGCTCCTCTCAAGGCTACAAAGTTTCAATTATAGAAGGTAAATAAATCCCAGAATTAAAAACAAAGAAAAAAAAGGAGAGGCTGAAAGCTTCCGTCGCCGGTGGGGCTTGGCCAGCCTGAAAACAGCCCTCAGCCCCTCACCCAGACTGGCCAGGCACCCCAGTGGGGACACCCCACCCTAAAGGGGCTGTGGCCAGCCTGAAAACAGCCATCAGCCCCTCACCCAGGCTGGCCAAACCTTCATGGGGTGAGGGTCCCCACTGGGGGAGGGGGGGCTTGACCAGCCTGCAAACAGTCATCAGCCCCTCACCCAGGCTGGCCAGGCACCCCAGTGGGAACCCCCACCCTGAAAGGGGTGTGACCAGCTGCAAACAGCCATCAGCTCCTCACCCAGGCTGGCCAAGCACCCAAGCGGGACCCCCACCCTGATCCGGGACACCCTTAGGACAAACCAGCCGGCCCCCACCCATGCACCACACCTCTATCCTATATAATAAAAGGGTAATATGCAAACTGACCCTAACAGCAGAACGACTGTGAATGACTGGTCACTATGACACACACCGACCACCAGGGGGCAGACGCTCAATGCAGGAGCTGCCCCCTGGTGGTCAGTGTGCTCCCACAAGGGAGCTCTGCTCAGCCACAAGCCAGGCTGACGGCTGCCAGTACAGTGGTGGTGGTAGCCTCTCCCGCCTCCTCAACAGCACTAAGGATGTCCAACTGCAGCTTAGGTTTGCTTCCCGCTGGCAAGTGGACATCCCCTGAGGGCTGCCGGGCTGCCAGAGGGATGTCTGACTGCCAGCTTGGGCCCGATCCCCCCAGGGAGCAG